AAATCGTGCTTTTAGGTCATATAAGCCCCATATCAGGGGAGGAAACTGAAAGGGAGAGCCTAATAAGTGCCATAGGTTTCTGCACAAAATACATGAGAAAGGAACAAAGAAAGGAGAAGACAGGCTAGGGTTTTTTGTTTGTTTGTTTGTTTGTTTGCTTGTTTGTTTTTTGCAGAGGCTACCTCACACCAAAAAATAGAAGGATTGGTAAGAGAGAAGTTGATGGATTGTGTAATCTTAGAGAGTGGGAATGTGGAAAAGAGGACTGTGAGATCAGTGATTGGTTCATAGGCTTAAAAAGTTGTTAGGAGAAAGGGAGTCACCAGAAGATTAGGTGGAGGAGATCTCTGGGAAGGAATCTCTTTCAGAGATTAGAGCTACAAAGTCTCAGTTCCACAACCTTCTGTAAAATCTCACCACCTCTAGATCTCAGAAAATGACTAGAAGAATAGAACTGAGGGAGTATCCTACATCATCTTGACTATCATTTTGAAATGAGTTCAAGGCTGGGAATACTCACAGTTATCAGCTCCATCATATGAGTTTAATTTGCCTCCTGAAGACAGGCTTCTCTGGTCCCCGATTAGGGATCTTTCAAACTCAAGGACAAGGGCTGAGCTCAGTCCTGGTCCCACTCCAGAAGACGGTGCTAACCATGCTCCTCAGTTCATTATGCAAGAAAGAAGGGCCTCAAACATTTATGAGCTTGCTAGAAACGAGGGACCAAGAATCTACCGTTTCAGAATGCAAATAAATTCCTTTATTGTGGTTGACATTTGGTGCTATCTATGGCTGAAACACCAGTATCACAGACACTGCAGAGGCTTTTTGACCTTTTGCGTGAACTCTAGTTAGTTGTTCCTTCATCAAATTGCATAACTGGCATGGAAAAATACTAGGGTATTTAAATTCTTCACAAGCATGTCCACCTATCATCTGGACATATTTATTGTGACCTCTACTGGCAGCTTCTATAACTGTTGACCTGGTATGTTGCCAAAACCCAGCTGTACTTTTAAACCTGCCAAGGTCATGCAAGTGTTGCATACCTGGAGGAGAAAGAGATTGTACTTCTTAAGCAAGAACAAATTCAGGAAAGGGTATTGAGCAATACCATTTCACTTCAGTGACATTCTTTGGCATCCTAGAGTTAAAGAGGAGAAGGAAAAAATACATGGTATGCCGGGCCCTCTCAGTATTCCTCTCCTTTGGTACCCATCACAATTCCAACAGGTGGCTGGGAGGTTCCTGTTGTTCATATTACAGATGAATTCATGGATACAAATGTCCACATTCTCCTGCTTTCCAGATGATATTTGCTAGCTACACCTACAGGAGGAGCAATTTTAATTCTCTCTTTATTTCAGACAGTTCTAAATTTTTGTTGCATCCTCCCTCTATAAACAGGCCTTGAATGCCAGGTTACATACAGACTTATATCATCTTACAGGTGATAGGGAGTTGTTCAAGGTTTTAGAGTAGAGACATAACAGAAAGAGGGGACTGCATATAAAGAAGTCACAGACAGCTGAAATAATGCAGGTATGTATTGATAAAGAACTGATTTCAGTAGTGTTGCAGGAAGATTGACTACAGACATTTTGAAGGAAAAGCTGATGTCTACATTATGTCCTAGAAAACTTCAAGTTTATGTGCCCAGGTGGCTGACAATGATGTGGCCCTTAACCAAACTGAAGAACATTTCATTAGTTTGGGGTACAGCTCAGGTTTGTTTGTTTTTTTCAGCTTTTCAGGTGATTCTTATAGCTAAGTTAAAGCCACTTGCCTGGACACTGCTTTACTTGTTCTTAAGTGTTACCACGGCTCTCCACCTTCAATGACTCACAATTTTGTCATTTTAAATTAGATTTCTATACTAAAACTTTAATTTCATTTCAATCAAACTTCCTCTCTCAATTCTTCTGATTAAAGTACAGCAGAAGGAAATAATATTATAATAATGATGCACAGTGTCAGATATCAGATTTATTGGGGTCATCATTTCATAAGTTATATAAATGTCTAATCACTATTGTACACCTGAAACTAATATAATATTGTATGCCAACTGTAACTTAAAAATAAACAAATATTAAAAAGGGAAAAAAAAGTATCACAATTTTTCCACTGAGGATTAATTCATCAAATTTGCTCTGATTCCATTTTTCTTACATTGTATTCAATGATTTCTTATAGTAATTCTACCTTCAAGATACCTGTCTCCCTGTTTGTGCCTGAGTTCAGGGCCTCCACACTTCTTACCTAGGCTACTGGAATGGTCACACCACTGAGTTTTCCACTCCTTTCTTCCCCAATCCAATCTCTACTTTGCTCGCAGGTATTTTCGTGTAGTATCCCTGCCTAAATTAGTCTCTGCCTCTAAGAGCTCACTCAGTCTACTGGTCCAGATGACCATGTATGCCAAAAATTATAATAAAATACTAAGTAGGCTATATGACATTTCCCTGTTTTGATCCCTTTAGACGCTTTGACGTCTCTGACTTTACTTTCTGATTTGCTAAGTCCTAACATTTCTTAGATTGCCTCTAGAACCACCCCTGGATTGGAAAGCAAGTATACAGGATAAAGGTATATCTGGAAAGGCTAGGAGTTCCCCCAAAATAGGTCAACCAGAACAATGTTATTTTTGTTAGATAGTGGGTTTCTCTGTAAGATTTTTCATTTAAACAATTTATTTAAACTAATCCCCCCCCAAAAGGTATAGTTTACCCATCCCACCCCCCCCACCTCCTCCATCAATTACGACCAATCTGTTCTCTATACCTACAACTTTGCTTTTTTTGTTTGGAGGTGGGGAGAACATTATGTCTGTTTTTTAACAAAAAAGATTCCACATAAAAGACAGATCACTTGGTATTTGTCTATCTCTAACATTCCATTTAACATAATGCCCTTGAGGTCCATACACAGTGCTACAAATGGCAAGATTTCATTCTTTCTTATGGCTGAGTAGTATTCCATTGTGTGTGTGTGTGTGTGTGTGTGTGTGTGTATAATATTACTTTATCCATTCACCTGTCCACTTATCCATTGATGAAGGGATTAAGTTGTTTCCATATCTTGGCTATTACAAATAATGCTACAATGAACATGAAGATGCAAATATCTTTTCAAATTAGTGTTTTGGATTTCTTGAGATAAATTTGCAAAAGTGAAATTGCTGGGTCTTATGGTAGTTCCATTTTTAATTTTGGGGGGAAGAACCTCCATCCTGTTTTCAACAGTGGCTGCACCAATTTACCAACAGCGCACTAGGGTTCCCTTTTCTCTACAACTCCAGCAATTCTTGGTATTCCTTGTGTTTTGGTAACAGCCATTCTGACAAGTGTGAGATGATATTTCATTGTGGTTCGGATTTGCATTTCCCTGATGATTAATGATGTTGAGTATCTTTTCATGTACTTGTTGGCCATCTATATGACTTCTCTGGAAAAAATGTCTATTCAGATCTGCATATTTTGTAAATGAATTATTTTTTTGGTGTTGAGTTACAAGTTCTTTATGTATTTTGGATTTAGCCCCTTATCAGATATATGATTTGCAAATATTTTCTCTCATTTCGTTGGGTGTCATTTCATTTTGTTGATGATTTCCTTTGTGTACAGAGCTAGTTATTTATTTATTTATTTATTTATTATTTTAATTACTTATCATTTTATCCTTCTATACTTAGAACTATAAAATATTTTAGATAAACAATTAAAAGAAGGAAATACTGCACCATTTTGTAAATCAACAAGCTGACCCACTTACATCAATTTTTAAAAAGAAATAAAACATAACTGAAGCTTCCACGTGCCCTCCCTGATTATATCAGCAACCCCTGCCTAGGACAGCAGAGCCTGACTCACACACTCTCATACGTGATCTCATACTCTTATTTCATATAAACTGAATTCACAGGAAATATATTATTGTGCAAAACAATAACAACGCTGTCTACTGTATGCCAATGCTTACCTGCCATCCAGTATTTTAAGTACTTTACATGCATTATTTCATTAACTACTGCCCATTGCCCATGTAAAATTTTTATTTTTAAAAAGGGTGGTTCCCTTGCTAAAAATAAAAAGCTTAAAAACAACTGCTTTGCATAAATTCTGTCTGATTAATCAATCCCCTCTCCCTTCCAATGGATCAGTAAACTTCCACATGGCATGGACTGCGTTTTATGTATATGTGAACCTCTATGGTGCCTAGAAATGCCTGGCACATCGTGGGTATTCAAAAATATGTTGAAGAAACTCTTGCCTCCTGGTACCACCATGGGGCAATAGCTGCATCATGAAACCCATAAGCACTCATAGAACACTTTTGGCCATATCAGAATTTAAATATTTGGAAGTGCCCAGTCATAGAGTTCTGAAAAATTCAACTTATGATTTTTTTATTGAGCACATAAATGCTCTATGCACTGTACTAGTTAATGAAACAGAGAAGAAGCCAGCGAAAGAACAGTTAAGTGGGTAGAATATCATGAAATGTGTGGTAACTGAAAACTCAAAAAAGGAGGAAGTTTAATGGAAAAGTAAGTGATCACAAACTTCAAACATGAGTAAAAGCTCAAGATGAATGAGGAAGATTAAAGGAGCCTCAAATTTGAGCAGGTTACCTCCAGAGAGACTGTCAGGATGGATGCTTATTGCCAAGGTTAAAGAATAAAGCACATGTTAGATAATTTGACAAATGGAGCAGAAGCTATAAAGGATAATACTGGTGAAGATCTTTGTCCACTAAGTAAGAAAAAGAATAGTGTATGTTTGATGTTGAAAAAAGCAGCAAAAGAAACATCATGGGCAGAGAAGGAATATTTGTGAATAAAAAGGGCATTATGAGTTCAAAAGAAATATGAGTCGAAGTATTATAACATTATCCATAAAGCAAATTGGATTCTGGAAGCACAAAATATATTGAAGAAGTAACAGGGTTTCAAAGATACGATTTCTTATACTTTTTGTAATAGATTTAACATTTCCTACCTTCACCACTCTCCATGCCTTCTACAAAAATCCCCCCACACTGGGGAAGAATCCAGTACCGGCGTCTGTAACGATCCTGGCCGAACATCATAGAACGTAGAGAGTGAGAAGCGTCAAAGAGCTTCCTTCTGTACTGACACTGTTGCTGTTAAAAAATGATGCATATCGTTAACTTATGGGTGTTAAGTGCTTTAAAATTTAACAAATAAGTAACTTTACACTTATTATGCCTTTAGAGCAGATAAATTTCACTACTGGGAAAAGAGAGCAAATAAACTAAGTATTACATGTCTGATTTCAATTTCAGTAACATTTACATAGTTTGAAATTATTTTGAGGGTAATTAGAATATTTTTGATGCCATGAAATTAAAAAGATAAGTTTTATTTTATCAGGTATCTTATGGTAGCATGTCCTATACTTGATAATAAACCATGTGATCAAATATTGAGATAAATTTGTGAAGTTAACATTGATATGATCTATAGGTATCTCATATTAATCTCATAATACTTTTAAAAACTCATTTTTTAACAAGAAGTTCATCTAAACTTCACTAATGCCACCAAAATTCAAGTTTTAATGAGAAGTACACAAATACAGTTTATAAATTCAATTCAAATAAAATTCAAATAGTCGTGTAAAATAAAACAAGATGCTGAAACTTCTACCATAAAATTTGAGTGAATTTTAAAAGTAATTATTGCTAAGAAATAAGACTGCATATTTGTAGATTTTTTAAAAAATTTAAATAAAGAGCTGAAGACTATAGGTCCTGATTAAGTTTAGTGCCACGACTTAAGAAGCAGGCTTTTAACTTTGGCATTAAACTTATAAGGTTTAACTGAGAATGTTTCTAGGGTTCCTCATTTTAATTAATTATAAAAAGCTTGTTAGCAGCCAGAAAACTAATCTCATACAGGCCAGTTTTTAAAATATTGCAAAAAAAGATAAAAACTATAATCTGAAAGTGCTTACTTTACTCAGTTTTTCGATCTGCTTTTCTAGCTCTTCAACACTTGCTGCTTGGTCACCTTCATCCTATTCATAACAAAATACAGTGTAATTTACCCACTTTAAGATTTATTTGTTCAATCCATCAGCAAATATTTAATTAAAGCCTCCTATATGCAAAGCACTAAAACAGGCCCTATGGAAATGAATAGAGTCAGTTCTTGCTTTCTATATACTAATAATCTTTCGGGGAACACACAAAACATTATACTAAAAGGTGAAAAGCACTCAACATTAGGAAGCTGTAAGGTCCTCCCTCAGAGAGGTAGAGATTAAGAATCAGAGAGTTCAGGGAAGGGTAAGATGACTTCTACAGGGAAATCTATACCAAGAGAGGCTATGTGGGAAAAGCTGTGTTTTAATTAGCTATTAAATAATGCTTAGGAATGGATTAATCAGAGAAAAGAGGACAGGGAATACTAGAAAAAGTTTGATATATCTTCACACAACAGGTAAGAATAGGTAATCTGGGAGATAAGACAAAGACGAGTTTAACAGTTAACTGTCTAGTGTTGTGAATGCTTTGCACTGATCCTTTGAGGGAGACTGAACATCAAAACTAGCTTCACCAAGATAAATATGGCAATAGTTCTAGGATGGCCTGGAGCAGGGAAAGGCCTAGAATTGGCAAACCTAGTTAGTAGATTGCTGCAATGATTAAATAGAGAGAAAGGTGGTAGGCCTTATTAGGGAAAAAGAAATAAAGAAAAGCAAATAAACATAAGAGATATTACATAGTTAAAACTGTAAAGCCCTTGCAACTCATGGACATGAAGCTGAGAGGGGTGAGGGAGATAAAAAAAGGAGTAAATTATGATGTTAAGGGTTTAAATTTAGAAGACTGCAAAATATTAGTACCATAAACTGAAAAAGTCATTTTTAAAGATGGCTAAGTTATATTTTGAACATTATATATAGAACTAATTTAATAAATGGAAAGTTTACATCTGATTAAATGAAATTTTTCACTCTAGGCCATGAATATAGGAAAAATAACCCTAAATTATGTTTCAGAGGAAAAGCATGAAGGAATAGAAGGTACATGTGCTTCTTTGGATTTCAGCCACACTATGTTACATAAGCAAATTATTTTACTCTTCTAAGACTTCCCTTAACTATAAATTGGTGATAACATTGCCTGTAACATGGGTTTTTGTGAGAACTAAACAAGAACAGATCTGAAATCAAGTAGCAGAGCTGTTGACACATAATGTGTAAATATTCTTTCTCAAACTGTACTTTAATGAGAAGCTTCAGGTACACCTTAGTTTTAAAAAAATAAGAACTTGTTTTTGATGTTCACCTTCTATGAGCCTTTTTCAAAAGCTACACTGACACAAACTAATCATAAACAGATATTTCCAAATCACTATGATTATTTCCCCCATAAAAGTGAAAGGAAAACCTCAGAAGTATTACTATTAGGAATCACTTACCCACTCCTCATCCTACTTTAGGGGACCAGGTTACAAAGGCATTTAGGCATGTTATTTGTGCTAAAAGTAACATGATTTCTATTGGGGATTAAAAGAACCCTTAAAAGACAATAGCCTCAGGGACCCTCGAGTCTTGAATCTCACACATAGATGTTTTTATATCTATATGATTCTCAAGTGATAAATGTTTAATAATTTTCTCTCATAAAATACAATCCAATCTACAAATATCTGAAAGAAGACAACAAAGTTGCTAGGAATCAGCCAATTTAACTGACTGCCATTTCTAAGACTCTTCCTATGATGCAAAAGAAGTGAAATGTCTACTTAAGTTTACCACAGAATCAATTCTAGCCATGGTTCTCTCCATAGTTTCCCAAACAAAAGAGAAGGCCATTACATGCTCCTATATGTTGGAATTTACATGGCTACTTTCAAGGTTAATGCTCACATAAGTTTCAACACAAATCTAAGTATAAGGGAAACTGTTCATACGTTGAAGGAATAGGAGTGGGAAGAGGGAATCATCTTGAGACAAAGGGCTATGACTTGGTCAAAAAGGACACATGACTCTCACTGGAAAGGTTACCTGCAATTAGTTTTTTAAGTAGTTTAACAGACACTCTACCTATACTTTAATCAAGTAGCCAAACCTATTTTTGAAGGAATAATATGCCTATTTTATCAATCAAGTTCATTAAATAATTAAATTTTTATTAGAAAATTGGTAAGTGGCTACCAATTCTTCATTACAAAGATTACCGTATTTTTCGGACTATAAGACACACACCTTTCCTCCAAATTTGGGAGGAAAAGGGGGGGCGCATCTTATAGTCGGAATGCACTTTACATTCACATTGGTGAAATATTATGATTTTATGTTATCAAATATTTTACCACATTTTTTGCTTCAAAAATTTTTTCCCTCCTCTAAAACCTAGGTGTGTCTTATGGTCCGAAAAATACAGTAACTCTCAATTCATTTAAAGGAAATGCTAATTTGGCTTCTCAGATACCAAAATATTTATTATTTTTAAAAGTTTTAGAAGTTTTCTCATATTAATAATAAGATATACATTTGCTAGGATCTTCATCAATTAAATCCTACAATATAATTAACTCTATAATTCAACACTCATTAAAAAAACAAAACACTACACTAAATGACATATCTGGTCCAAGAAACTTTAATACTTTTTAAATAATTAATGAGAATTTAGTCTTTATTTCCCTTAAAACATGCATGGTTTGTTAATTCATGTGAAAAGAGGAAGCCAGATGAAACAATTTCTGTAAATAAATTCTAATTTAGCGGGATAACTACCCAGTGAAATACACTGAAATCTCAATGACATGATGTCAATTTGTGAGTCAACACTTTAAAACAATTTGTATTAAGTGCTGAAAAGGGATGCCAATTCTGTGAAAAGCTTATTAACACTGATCAGAAAAGTTTAATTCCTGCTATGGTAACAGCTCCACTTGCCAAATAAAGTAGATTGGTTATAAATGGTATCTTTTGTTTGGATAATCACAATTTTAATACCCAAATTATATACCCTTCACATTATTTGCAATGGAATACAAATATTTGATCAAGTGGTTTCAAAAGTATAACATTATGCTCTGGCTGGTGCGATCCAGTTAATTGGAGCATCCTCCCATAGACTGAAAGGTCTCAGGTTCAATTCCTGGTCAGGGAACATGCCTGGGTTGCAGCTTCGACACCTAGTCAGGGTGCATACAAGAAGGCAACCAACTGACTGATTTCTCTCTCTTTCTTTCTCTCTCCCCACCCTGCCCTGCCACCGCTCCTCCCTCCTTAGCTAAAAAGGAAAATGTCCTTGGGTGAGGATTTAAAAAGAAGTAGCATATTATGAAATAATTTCAGCAAGGAATTTCAATGGGATTTTTATCATTCTGGTCTAAAATATAACACTGGGGAGGGATTTATTAAAATATTTTACATTTAATGATATTTTTACTTAAGAGAATTGGGTAGTATGTGATCTTACAAGTACCTCTACATTATTACCTAGATTCGGTCAAAAATTTGATTCCATAATTTATCATTGGTCTTGATTAGATATTTTCACATATTGTACCAACAAAATTATCTAGCCATGGGTGGTGTGGCTCAGTGGATTGAGTGCCAGCCTGTGAACCAAAGGGTTGCTGGTTCGATTCCCAGTCAGGGCACATGCTGGGTTGTGGGCTAGGTTCCTGCTAGGGGTCACTCAAGAGGCAAACACACACTGATGTTTCTATCCCTCTCTATCTTCCTCCATTTCCCTCTCTAAAAATAAATATACAAACAAACAAACAAACAAATAATTAAAATCTTAAAAGTTATCTATCCCAGCCCTGGCTGGTGTAGCTCAATGGATTGAGCACAGGCTGCGAACCAAAGTGTCGCAGGTTTGATTCTCAGTCAGGGTACATGCATGGGTTGCAGGCCATAACCCCCAGCAACCGCACATTGATGTTTCTCTCTCTCTCTCTCTCTCCCCCTCCCTTTCCTCTAAAAATAAACAAACAAACAAATAAATAAATAAATAAAATCTTTAAAAAAAAAGTTATCTATCCCTCCAGGCCTTCTTCCTTTATTTCTCTAGCAGTACTGATTTGATGCAAGAAAGGACAAGAGTTGTTTCTAGCTTTCCTTAGCTTAATACTCCTGGCATTGAGGGCAACAGTGATAGGCTGTATATTGTTTTTTGAATACCATTTTATAGCCCTATGAATATTACTAGAATCCTTAAATTTTTTTTTTCATTGACTCCAGAGAGAAGGGAAAGGAGGAAGAAAGAGAGGGAGAGAAACATAAGCTTGAGGGAGAAATATTAATTGGTTGTCTCTTGCATGGGGCCTAACTGGGCACCAAAGGTGCAACCCAGGCATGTGCCCTGACCAGGAATCAGACCTGCAACTTTTGTTTTGAGGGATGGCAACCACCCAAGTGATCTACACTACCCAGGGCAATATTTCTAGAATTCTTTTTAGGTGAAAGGTAAATTTCAGCTTTAATCTCCCTTTTACATATGTCCATTTCCATGGCTTACGGTAGCTTCCCTCAAACACATACAGACACACACATACCTACCTCTATAACCTTGCCTTCTTCCCTTTAGCCTGCTCTGCAAAGCTAGGCCCCCGTTTACCATGACTGAATGTCTTCCAATAACTTTAGGAACTTATATTGTTAATTATTCTTTTTCTTCTGAATCTTCAACCTCCCTCTCTCATTTTATCGACTCTTTCCCTTCAATCAAAAATCATCTCCATCTTTCCACATCTGACAAGTCCTTGGTCTTTGCTCCCCTCCAGGAACCACCTTCCCTCCAAGGCACAGTGCCTGAAATGGCCGTCTCCACTTTCTCCCTTTCTGTTGTTTGAGCTCACAGCCTGGCTCACCCCTCTGATGAAACGGTGCTGACCTCTGTGTTTCTAAACCCACTGAAAACTTTCAGTCCCTGTCACACTAGACTCAGCTGCCTTAATGTTTGTTTATTATGCCCTCATTTTTGAAATGTTCAATTTTTCTTGATTTTTGTTATTACTCCACATGTAGAAAAGAGTTAAAATTGCAGACCTGACTATACTACCTTTTGAAAGGTTGGCACTAGGCTGGTGTCTGGAACTTGGATTTGAGGGTTCCCTGACCCCAGCCAGACCCTAACTGATAAAGTGGGCTCACTAGACTTACACTGTGCCAACAGTGTGGTTTATACATCTACATTTCTTCCGGGAGTCTGGAATTTTGGAACATGCTGTACAGAAGGTGTCTTTGTGGCCAGTCCCCTGCAAGAAATCTGGCAGTGAGTCTCTACTGAGCTTCACTAGTACACAACACGTCACATGTGTCACAACTCATTGCTGGAAGAACTGCTGTATGATGTCACTGGGAAATAAACTCTCTGAAGTTTAAGTCTGGTTTCCTCTGAACTTTGACTCATATGCCTTTTCTCTCTGCTGGTTTGCTTTGTTTCCTATTGCTATAATAATTCATAGACACAGCATGACTAGATGCTGAGTTCTGTGCATCCTCCTAGTGAATCACTAACTCTGGTTCTCCACAGGAATCTTCCACCTCTCTGTCCCATTTTCAACAATAAGCCTTTTGGGCTCTCTTAAATATTCATGTTTCTAGGGTCCCAACCTCAGTCCACAAACTCACCTCCTGCTGCAAGGCCTGGTTCCTAACAACCCCGGACCAGTCCCAGTCCATGGCCCAGAGGTTGGGGACCCCTGCCTTAAAAGCACATTGTGGTTTCAGGCTTCTGTGTCTCTCTGCCTGGAAAACTCTTCCCTGTATTCCTACCCAGGTTAACATTTAGCCCAGCTTGTAGCCCCAGCTAGTAATGGGTCCAGAAAGCCTCTGTGAGAATTTATTCCTCAGAATGGTTAAATGCCTTTCCTTTCTATCAGCCTAGCACATTGTAAATACCTCTATTGAAGCAGTTAACACTTAACACATTACACTTTCTTATTGCAAATCTTCCTCAGTGAGCCTGTAAATTGAGAGGGGACTTTTAGTGCCTTCTTATATATCTTTGATCAAAAGTGCCTAAAGCTGGGCATATAATAAACTGGTGTTTGAGAAATATATCAGTTTCACAAAACCTGACAACACTTTTAAGGTATAAAGTATTGTCACTGGAATGAAAGAGAATACCTAAAATTAAGAATCAGCATAATTCTTTAGAGAGCTCTCAAGTCATTCTATAAAAAGAAAAACTTAACTTTTTTTATTCAAGTATGTACCTGCTGTCTCTAGGCAGTCTATTCAATATTTATTTACCCATCACAAAATACTTTATATGTGAATATTATAATATTCAGTATTCAGATGAAGAAACTAAACACGTGTCAAAATGAAATTAAAACCCAAATCCACTTGACCCCAAATTCTGTGTTATGTTTTTCTGTTTTATTAAATTTATTTGAGTGACACTGGTTAACAAATTATATAGGTTTCTGGTGTACAATTCTACTACACGTCATCTGGACGCTGTATTAGGTATTCCCCAACCCAAGTCAACTTTCCTTCTATCACCATTTATCCCCCCTATACCCCTCCTCTGCCCCCTTCCCCCAACAATCACAACACTGTTGTCCATGTCCATGAGTCTTTTTCTTTTTTCACTTTTGCTCAATCTCTTCATCCCCCTCACCCAGCACTGCCCAACCCCTTGACAGCTATCAGCCTGCTCTCTATCGATGAGCCTGTCACTATTTTGCCTGTTTGTTAATTTTGTTCATTAAATTCCACATATGAGTGAAATCATGTGGTATTTGTCTTTCTCTGACTGGCTTACTTCACTTAGAATAATGCTCTCTAGGTCCATCCATGCTGTTGCAGAGGGTAAGATTTCCTCCCTTTTTTTGGCCAAGGTAATATTCCATTGTGTAAATGTACCATAGCTTTTTTGTCCAGTCATCTGCTGATGGACACTTGGGCTGCTTCTAAATCATGGCTATTGTAAATAGTGCTCAATGAACACAGGGTGCACACAGTCTTTCAAATTCAGTGTTTCTGTGTTATTTTTCAATGTTATGCAGTCTTAGTTAAATATTAAAATCAACCTAAATTTTCTTACCTCATCTTCACAGATATCAGCCTTCTTTCCTTTTTTGTCTTCTTTATCTTCTTCATCTTCATCATCTTCATCAGCTTGGTCATCACTGTCATCATCATCATCATCATCATAATCACTGTCTCCTCCCTTCCGTCTTCGCTTTCGCCCTGGAGTGGGTGTCCCTAATGGATGCTGCTCTTCTCCAAGATCACCACCTGCAGTGTCTCTTTTGCCTGTTTTCTTAGCATGAATGATTCTGAGCCTTTAAATATACATAAAATGATGATATAAAAGGAAAGGCTTCTTTCTATGCTTTTTAAAGAGTTTTAAGCAAAAGTACCTAATGATATTTTATTTTTCTCACAGTAAACAATAAATCAATGATAATAAAAATTAGAATTAAAAAAATTAAGAAATGGTGTTTCTAGAAATTATAGAACATATTAACTTTCAAGAATAATGCTTTGGAATTAGAACACTTTAAAAAAAGGAAATGTTAGAAAGTTGGAAAGACTAATTCTAGCAATGGCCAAGTGACAATTCCTGATCCCCTACTATCAGACTGAATAAATTTCAATGCAAATTACCACAAAAAAAAACCACCTTCTTAACATAGAAGCTGAATAATTTCAGCATATTTCGTGGCAGGAAGCTAATTAAGTTTTAATGCTGAATATATCTGAGTATGTTACATGCTCTATAAAAGTAAATTTTAACTAGAAAGCAATTAAGAAAAAGGGTGGTAGTTCTAAACAGATTCTATTTATGATAAAAGTAACCTGATAGCAACAACAATCTTAGAAAATGTAATTACTTGACTTCTTTGAAAGAAAAAAGACAAATGACTTTCTTCTAAATTTGAATTGTATGAGCTCAATAGATCTCATTATATCTTTTGTCCATTGCAAATTCTGGCCCTGAGTTATATTAATTTCATATCTTATCTTAATTTTAAGCTTTACCATTTCTACTTCTTAGACAAAATAAAGTTTAAATTCTATCTTTCCAATTTATATGTTTTATTGGGGAACATGTACAAAGGGAAAGTATATTAATTTTAATAAAATAGGACTTACTTGCGAAGTTTACCTTCTACCACCCATTTATCTCTCCTCAAGTTTGACATATAATCAATATTCTTGTCAATTTCACTGCCAATGCAAAAAATTATTAGAAAACATAAATTAATCCATCATGCAATACATTAATCTGGTAAGCAAATTAATGTAGTTTTTTAGTAAGTGAAAATGATGATTATCATGAATAACAAAAACAAGTGAAAAATTATATCAATACAGTATCATAGCTAAAATGTCCACCCTAATAGAAATACATGACTCTGAAATACTTGAATTGATCCTTTTCCTAAAAAGTAAGGAATTAAAAGTAACATAATTAAACACTGTAACATAGCAAAAACAAAATGAACTTGGATTTGTTCACCAAATCTTAAAATACTAGACTGGAAGGCTTACTTTGACTTTTAAATGTGATTAACTATTTTTTTAAGGTGCAAATTAATATATCAATAAACTAATAATATTAAGGTTGCATTAGAGCATAATAAAGTAACAAGTAGCTGGATAATTCTGTGAATGCATACTAAGGAAAATTAGTAGTCATCTATCATTATAAGATGTCAAGAAAACAAAAATTCTGGATTCTTCCAACAGTGCTTGATCCTGGGACTATAGCAAGAAACATTATTTTTATATTTTGTATATACATTACAAAATTATTAAATGAACAAAACAGGTTACAACTATTATATACAGTATAATACAAATTTTCTTTTCAGTAGACTACAAAGAAATACATTAAAATTTATTAATAGTCATGTCTGAATGGGAAGATTAAGTATAATTTTAATTTTTTTCTTTGTGCTAGTTTATAACTTTGAAATTTTCTATAAGCAATCTGCATTACTTTGTGGTAAGACAAATTCAAAACAGAGAATAATAGCCAGAAAAGTCTGGCCATATGCTTACCTCACCACACTCTTGCTGCAGGCCAGTTCATTGATGAGGAAAGCCAGGACAGAGGCTTTCTGCGCGGGAGTGTGAGCTTGAAAAGCTTTGGTCTTCAGGCTTTCAGTAAGCTCTGTTTGTCCACAGTGGGCTTCCATAAAAATCTGCAAAATCTCGGAAACATTGTCCCGATTTACACCAACATTCAGCAAATGTTCTCCAAGAGCTGTTTTGGCCTACAAAATGTTGGCATTTTCATCAGTATTGGCATATTCATTCATAGCATAAGACAATATAACTTTAAAATGCTAGCATATAATTTATATATTCTGACAACAGCTTTATTCACATTTTTGATCAAGTAGAGATGAAAATAGGCAAGAGATGATAGACGATTCACGTATTTGTAATCTTTCTATTCCTCCTCCAAACTCTTGCTTCAAAGTCAGATGGGGAGAAGAGTATATAAACTCACAAGTAGGAATCGTCTACCATACCTTCTTTCACTCCAGAAACTGTCCCAAGTTTTTCCAGGCTTTATGTAGACATTCGGGACAGGGAAATAGGAGATTCAAAGCACTGTTATTGTGTTGTCTGGCTCTATGGTATCATGGATTTTACTGCCTAATATATGGAGCGACAGGGAGATGAAGGAAAATATAACAGGTGCATCTCTCTACAACACTACCTATAGCAAAGCTGACTGAAATATGTACCTTAATTGGAATTAAGATAACTGAATTTCTGAGTATACACTGAGCAGTACAGAGTCTTAACATGCTGGTCTATAGGTGCCTTGATTAGCCTCAAGTTACTCACAGTGATTCAGAAGGAACACAGTATAATTTCAGAAGGCACACATAAGTTCTAATTGCTTTATGATTTATGAATACTCTGTTTTTCTTAATATCACTTAGTATCTTCTTAAATCAACTTGGCTTTTGCTGAAAGAGGAATAAAAAGAGGAATTTGGGGATAATCTATATTCCTTAGGCTTTATAAAGCAGATTTTTCTAGGTGTGTGCCAACTGCAACTTAAAGCAAATATACATTTAATATCATGTAGAAAAAACTGGATCATTCTGTACAAACTTCTGCTAATAAGTTACAACCCACTATCAATGCACTGATAATACAAATTTAAAATATACTTTTTTATATATATATATATATATATATATTTTTTTTTTTTTTTTACCTTGTATCCCGTAATTAGACCTGGGTCACATACAGCAGCTGAGAGGAGCCTCACAAGCAGGTCTTGCACCTCACCCATGCTGTCCCCTATGTTTAGCAGTCCCTCTTGAAGGACGCTCAGGTTTGGAACATCAATATTCACATCAAAGCCCAAAACTTTGCCAAAGTTTCGTAAGAACTGCACCACCATGAGACAGTCTGAAAATGTACTTCCAGAGAGAACAAGTCCTGGAATACGAGGCAACTCTGGCAAAGGCTGAAAATAAAATAAGATTTAAAGCTGTGATTTAGTATCTTCTGAAGCAAATTAAGTTGCTATCTTTCTTTCTCTGGAGTTGCACGGTGGAGTTCCCTCTGGACTGTAAGTTCCCTGAGTACATTTCTGTAGCCCTACGGTATTAAGCATATGATGTTGACTTCAAGTAACCATCAACAAGTTTTGGTTGAACACAATATAAACTTAGATCTCTCTAAAAGAGAAGATTAATTTTAATTAACTTACAATATATTGATAAACCATGGGCTATATAACTGGATCAAAATTTAGATAACATTAACAAACATTTCCACACAGACAGCAGTGTGGTGATTGCCAGCAGGAAAGGGGGTGACAAGAGAGAGAAGATGGTAGGGCAATAAATGGTGATGGAAGGAGATTTGACTTGAGGTTGTGAACACACAATACAATATACAGATGACGTGTTATAGAAATGTACACCTGATACCCACATACTTTTATTAACCGATGTCACCCCAATAAATTCAATTAAAAAAAAAGAAATAAGCATTTCTAAAGTATCGTGGACATACTTAGTAGAGAAGATGTGCTGAATGTAGAGACTAATTTTTAAGTCACACTTTCGGATCGCTCAAATGAACAGTGTGTACCTGTGGGCTGCAAGGCTGGATGGAAAGACAGGTATAATCTTCAGCTAATGAATGCTGATAAATTACTAGGTCCACATGACCAGAACCTATGACCATACCAGGAACTGCTTTATACTGCAACTAAATCTTTAGATTTCCTGTACATAGTGCTGTATTAATATTGTATTAAATTTCAGTAGTAAAACTAGAAAGCTGCCTCTTCTGCTGCTTCTGAAATATGCCCACATATTAACATTTTACTGACTATGTTGTAGTAACAGTTGTCATGGATGTTTGAACAATAAATAGGTAATCTAAATTAAAAACTTTTTTGTCCATGAATGATATTCAGTAACAGTACTTTAAATTTTGATTGGAAAAAAACTGACTTGTGTTTCTATGTATCTAAATTGGTCCTTGTTCAGAAATGTCCCCCTGCCTGGCACCTACTTGAATCAAAGACTTTTGTGCTAACATTGTGTGGGAACACAGCACAGGGCACCACTTCATACGCCCATTTGAAAACCATTTAGTTCTGAGTTTTCTTTCATTCTAAACATACACATATCCACATGGTTCTAAAAGTTTATATAACAAAGCTAACAAACCTAAATTTACAGTGGATTTATATGTTTGATATAGTGCATATGGATTTAAATAAAAATGAAGGATGCAAGAAAATAAAGCTTACTTAGGGTAAAAAAAAAAAACCACTCACCCTGAGCTTTTTAAATGTGTTAACTAACCTATATACCCATTCTGTGCTTAGGAAATTTTATACATCCTATTGATTAAAATTAGTATGTATACTTCCATTTTATTTTAAAAATATTAAATAGAATATTAATTTAATGAAATCCCCAATAGGGTATTAAAAGTTTGCTTTAAGCATTTTAGAAAAGAGCTTACACCCTGGCTGGCATAGCTCAGTGGATTGAGCTTGGGCTGCGAACCAAAGCATTGCAGTTCCATTCCCAGTCAGGGCACATGCCTGGGTTGCAGGCCAGGTCCCCAGTGGGGGCCACATGAGAAGCAACCACACACTGATGTTTCTCTTTCTCTCTTTCTCCCTCCCTTCACCTCTCTAAAAAGAAATAAACAAAATAAAAAAAAGAGCTTACATGAACCAAGAAACAATCATATTTGTGTATTAGATGAATATAGCATATAAGTACATATAGATACTTGATCAAATGTTAGTGAGACAGTTACAGAGACGATATACATTACTGATATAATTACTTAAAAATACAATTTCTTATTTATAGTCAAACATAATCGATTTCTCCTCTTAAGTGTGTAAAATCATGCCAGTAACCAAGATTATTTTGCTCTAAGTTTCATTTATGTATTTAGCAACATTGTATTTCTGTGAAACAGGATGGAAGAGAAACACATATGAGGTACTACAGTTGGATGTATTTCTCAGCTTTTAAGATGTCCTAAACAGGATGGACTCTGGAGTTAACAAACTGAGGCTTCAAACCAGGCTGATGTAATAGTGTGCAATCTTGGGCAAGTTCTTTTACCCCTTTGTGTCTCACTTTTCTCATCTGTAAATTGGCATAAATACCAGCTCCACAGGATTGTGGTGAGAATCCATATAAACTTAGCACAGTGGCCAGCATGGAGTAAACATACTCAACCATTACTAAAGCATAGAAGCAGATTATAAATGATAAATTCTAACTTAAGTATCTATAGGGTGTGGGGAAGAGTTAGATCTTTCTGTATCTAAATGCCTGGGAATGACCAAATGGAAATAGAAACAATAAAAATCCTATCAACTTTTACAATCCACATTTGTAGATTTCTGTATTATTTCTACTGAAAATTAAAATGGTTTACAGTACTCCACTCATATATTAAGAACTGCCACTATCCACACAAAAGCTCTAGAGAGGTTTATCGTTGCTCATCCAGGAGAGGCAAACTGACTTAAACTCGGAAATCCACTGTTCTAGTTAAAAATGAAAGGCTTTCATAATGGCAGTAGCTCTGGCCATGAGAATCAGGTGAGTGAGAACAGAGGAAAAGTTAAATTCATTAATAAAAATGTTTAGGACAGCTCTGGGGGGCATTTGGGGGGGAGAAATAGAGCAAAAGAAAAAACAGACATGACTACAGTCTGGTGGTTGCAGGGGGAGGGGGATGGGTGGAGGTAGAAGAGGGTATAGTGGCGATAAGTGGTGATGGAAAAATAAAAAAAAATGGCTTACATAATAAATTACCTTTTGATCTGCTAGGCACATGTCTTCATTAGGTTTCTTTAGTTCCTTTGCCATTTCTAATTCTAATCTTCGTTGCTCTAGTTTACGCTCTTTATTTAATCTTTTCTCATCACGTTTTTCTTGCTTCAACCGTTCTTTCTCCTTAAAAAGAAAACCATGTCCACACATTTTCTTTAATGATGGTATGTGTTTGAACAACTCCAGTTAAAATTTAAAAAGTGGTCAAATTGTTACTATTTCCATCAATAGAATCCTCTTAGGAGATTTAGAAATACACTTGGAATTACATAGAAACAATGACATTAGTTTTCACTGTTTTCTCCCTCTGAATAATCTTATGACTATATAAATATAGAATATAAATATTGTATTGAACACAGATTATTCTATTATGCAAAATTTATTCTATCATTTCCCAGGTTATAATACAAGAATAAAACACCTATTAATAAACACAGACACATTTTTGCGTGGCTCCAGGAAGCAAGGGGGGAACTACAGCAAGAGAATGGAAACATCTTTGACTATGCAAAATTTCTTTCAAAGTGATTAAGTAGTTTTAAGACAGCACTTGTCATGAAATAAAAATGTTATTTACCACTATAAATGACATATTAAGAGAATGCAAATGGGTTCTGAAGGCAATTCAAAGCTTTCAAAATATATTGGATAATGGCAACAATATGAAAATAATCGTCTTTTCACCCTGTTGTAAGGATGACATTCAGTAGGAAAACGTCAAGATAATACAATAATATCAGTGTCCTTACTTTATTGTCATGTCTCAAATACAATTCTTATTTATTTAGAGGAGAAATAACAGTAGAATCATCAGTCAATTCAAACCGACCTCACACATCTGACTCATTAATGATGGGCTTACTTTCATAAGGCTGATAATGTCTTTTCTTAATTAAAAGTTTTTTATTTTTTTATTTTTATCATAAAAAGTATAACTCCTTATTCTGGATTCAGTACTCATTTTTCCAAATTATCACTCATTTTTATATTTTGTAGATTTACATTTCCTGCTCCTGACCAACATCTCCTTTACCTCCTTACACAGGCGCGCCCCAGTCACAGGGTCATCATTCCCATCCTGCGCATCCAAGTCTTCGGGAAACACTATGCCCTCACCCCATTACCAACTTTTCAAATTCTCACAGTTCTTCTCTATGATTTTAACATTTTCATTGTTTTTAATATTTAAAAATTTTTAACATTTTTGTTGCTTCCTGTACTGTATTAGCATTTCTGTCCACATCTTAACCATCTCCATTTCAGTGACCACCAGTAAGACTGTATACTGACCACGGGGGAGTCCCGCTGAGGGGAACATGGAGAGGAGTGGAGCAGGATGTTCCAGGCAGAGAGCTGAGAAAGCACAGTGTGTTTAAGGAACTGCTAGTAGTTTCAAGACTGTAGCACAGGTTGCAGATGTGAATAGTTGCTGAATATTACGATACAGAGCCAGAGCCAGGGAAGGAGAGCCTTTTTATACAATATACTCAAGCTAAATTAGTCATTTTTATTCTGCCTCTAAATTTTTAGGTTACTCATTCACGCAGACATTTGGGAGGGAAATGATAAGAAAGCTATTATTATAAGATTACTGACACCAAAAAAGTTCTTCCATTAATCTTAGCAATTATAAACTAAAAGCAGTTTCCAAGGGTTTGAAGGCATAAAATACACACAATTACAGTATATGTGACATTCCCACAACAGAGTATATATAGATTTTCACATCAAATTATCATGGGCAGAATAGAACAATTTTTTTCTAGAATTAGATTTTCATTTTTCAAGCACATGAAATGTTGCTTTAAGAACTTTTTCAAAGAAGGAAGACAACTTTTTGATCACTCATCAGAATAATGAATTAAAATCACCAACAGAAAGAGAATACGAAATGTCTCTTTTAAATGTCTCTTACAGATTTCAAAGTAGCTGGTATAAATTTTCCTACTATGTAGGACTAATCCAGAATTCTTCATTATGTTTATAATAGTAATTATAAATATAACTAAGAATACTCTACTACTCACTAAAAATTGCTGAAAATGGCTACCATTTTTTTCAAAATGAGAGAAAGGACTCACATGACACTAAAGCTCTTTTCACTGTGCAAATTTCACATTGTCGACAATCTGGGGGTGCATAAAAACTTCAAGGATATGTAGACAGGGAAAGAACTAGAATGCACTTAATGCCATGGGATAAATACAGCTTATACTCTTGGACCATTTTACTTAGTGATATATAATATATTTCCCAATTAAAAAAGCACAGCTAGCCCTGGCTGAGTGGCACAGTTGGTTGCAGCATCATTCCATACATCAAAGGTTGCAGGTTCAATTTCTGACTGGGGAACATACCTAGGTTGTGGGTTAGATTCCAGTTGGGGCACCTATGGGAGGCAACCTACCAATGTTTCTCTATCTTTGATGTTTCTCTTTCTCTCTCTCTCAACCTCTCTCCTTTTCTTTCTAAAATCCATAAACATATCCTCTGGTGAGGATTAAAAAAAAATGGTGCCCTGGCTGGTAGGGTTCAGTGGATTGAGTGCTGGCCTGCGAACCAAAGCATCACTGGTTTGATTCCCAGTCAGGATACATGCCTGAGTTGCAGCCAGGTCCCCAGTAGGGGGCATGTGAAAGGCAAACACACATTGATGTTTCTCTCCCTCTGTTTCTCCCTCCCTTCCCCTCTAAAAATGAATAGATAAAATCTTAAAAAAAAAATGGGTACAATATGAAGTAAAACGTAAAGTGACATCAGCTTTTAGGATAAAATGGATATTTCTAAGAAATCATAGAAATTTGTAGGATATTTATTACTTACAGACAATCATCTATTCTTGTCTACTATTAGAGATTATTGTTTGGGAAGCTCTTTATCTGTCTAATTGTATGATTTTGCTGTTGGTGACCCTACCTTGGTTTTGAATATTAATTATAGCTTGCTAATAATAAAAACCCAAGTATATCTTTTGTTTCATTCCCAAGTTGTAGATAAGGTTGTACTTTATCTGTATTTGAGTTATTTATTTAGATTAGAACCTGAGACATTTAATTTTCCTGCTTTTGTCAATCACTGAGTCATAAAGGTGGTATCTTCCCATGACAGCAGAAGTCATTCGTTGTTCTCTTATGTACAGAGATAGGGCTAGAGTCTTGGGCTGAGCACAATCAGTCTAGAGCTTCATCTTAACTGTTCAGGTTGTTTATATATGTGTATGTACATGCATCTATTTGGTATTGCTGTTATTAGCATTAGCAGAGAAAGCATTATTTTCATAACTTTATCTGTCCAATTCTAAATGATAGCTTTGCTGGGTAGAGTACTCATGGTTATAGATCCTTGCTTTTCATCCCTTTAAATACTTCTTGACAATCCCTTCAGGCCTGCAAAGTTTTTGTTGAGAAGTCAGGTGACAGTCTTCGTGGAGCTCCCTGGCTGCCTTTAAGACTCTGTCTTTAACCTTGTGCATTTTAATTATGATGTATCTTGGTGTATCTATGATGAATCCTCTTTGGATTCATCTTGTTTGGGACTCTCTGTGCTTCCTGAACTTGTATGCTATTTGTTTTGGAATTAGTTTTCTAAATAGGTTTTCAATCTCTTATTCTCTCTTCTCCTTCCTGAACCCCCATAATGCAAATGTCGGTACAGTTGAAATTGTCCCAGAGGCTCCTTACACTACCCTCATTTTTTAAAAATTCTTTATTCTTTTGCTGTTTTGATTGGGTATTTTTTGCTTCCTTTTATTTCAAATCACTGTTTTGAGTCTCAGCTTCATCTACTCTATTGTTGATTCCTTGTAAATTATTCTTCATTTCAGTTGGTGTACTCTTACTTCTGACTGGTCCATTTTTATGCTGTTCAGGTTCTAACTAAGTTCAATGAGCATCTTAATAACCACTATTTTGAACTCTGCATCTAGTAGATTGCTTGTCTCCATTTTCTTTAGTTCTTTTTCCGGAGTTTTGTTCTGTTCTTTCATCTGGGCCATGTTTCTTTGGCTTCTCATTTTGGCAGCTTCCCTGTGTTTGTTTCTATGTATTAAGTAGAACCGCTACCATCTCCCAGGGTTGGTGGAGTGGCCCAATGTAGCAGGTGATCCATAGGATCCAGTGACACAGCATCCTCTATCACCTAAGCTGGGCACTCAAGGTACACCCTTCATATGGGCTGTGTATACCCTTCTGTTGTAGTTGAGCCATGCTGACTGTTGTCATATCAGTGGGAGGGATTTACCCCCAGGTCAATTGGCTGCAAGGACTGGCTGTTTACACTGACCACTGTGGAGGATCATCTGTGTAGGGTCCCACCCTTGGAGCAGGACTTACTTGGTGGGGCTCTGGTGTCTACTGAGTCCTCCCCTTGAGTGTGTCCATTATGGAGGAGGCTTGGTGGTGCTTTAATGTGGTCTGAAGCTGTCCACTGAGTGAGCTGGCTTTGTGGCTTCCCTGGAGGTACAGGCCAAGGTCAGCAACTGCCTGGGTTCTGTCTGCAGCCTCCTGGCATGAGCTACCAAGCAATCTGCAGATGGGTGCTACTTGTGCCAGGCTTGGAGACTCCCCCAGCAAAGCTAAGCTGTAAACCAGGGTTGGCTGGTGCCAACAGGCCTGGGGCCACTTAGTGAGAGGTATGAAGTATGCTGAGGTCAGATGCTGCTTGTTTGAGAGATTTTAGGAGAATCTGAAGCATGAGTCAAGACTGGCCACTCCTATGGAAAAGCCACTGGAAATTACTTGGGTGGGCTAAAAATTGGTGGAGCAGAGCCTCAAGGACTCACCAGGATGGGGCAAACAGTATGAGCCAGGTTGATGGAATCTCTAACAGGGAGCATGCTTACTGGCTACGTCAGGTGAGGGCTAAGGAAGGGAATGATGGCCTCTATCAGCACTGGTTTTTGGGAGAAAGCTGCCCCCTCCCAGCTCTCACCCTGATGCTGGACAATTCCATTTCAACCCGTATGCCTCTGGTGCCTCTCTGGTGCCTCTCAAGGTACAGGGCTATAGCTCAGAGGAAGAGAGTCCCAGTAAGTCCATGCAGGGGTCCTTTAAATTAAGAGGAACTGCTTGGGACTCCAAAAGCTCTGTCTCATTCAGCCTCAATCCCCACTGATTTTTATA